TGGTTCGTAAGTTTTCGTGGCACTAATTGCGGGAGGTAAGGAAGCAAGATGGGGACGGGGTTCGATGGAGCTGTAAAGTGTGCCGTAAGGGAACGCTCGAAGGGAATTGGAATAAACATTCGATCCTGGCTAGATCTTTCCTTCCTGGTGTCTCCGGTGTCTCCCTTTCCTTTTCTCTGTCTCTCTCTGTCTCTCTCTCTCTCTCTCTTTCTATTTCTCTTTCTCCTCCCGTTCCCCGTGATTTATGTTAATGTTTTTGTCTGAAACTCTAAATACAAGGAAAGGCGATTCGATTCCTGCCGCGTCAAGTTCGCAGCCCCTTCCGTTTTCTTATGCCGATGCCGATTAACTTAACTGCTTTAAGACGGCAATAAAGGTCGTCGACGCGATTTAACCGGTTTCCTTTTACCCGGTAGAATCGATGCCGTAACGCCCTCGAACGTGAAACCAAAGCTTCAGCCTGCATATTGACGATAATGGGAAAAGTTGTTGGGCTCTTCGACGTCTGACTTCTTCTGGGAGCGTCGATCAATCGGTGTACCACCCGGTGGATCCACCACCTTAACCCTTACTGTTTTACGCTCTCCTTTTATTCGTCAGTCTCGAGAATATTCTTTTAAAATCTTGCAAATGATCTCCAATCTAATTTGCGAGGAAAATATCTTCTCAATGAAGGTGAACGACTTCTTCGAGCCTCTCGCTGCTCTGTACTTTCGTACATCAGCCCCCCCCTCTTTTTTCCATCCCGGACTCTCTTCACGTTCAACCGCTGCCCAATTCTCGGCGAAATAATCAATCCTGGCGGAGGCATTAATAATGCTCGATCGACTGTACACGATCCTTCGAGTTGGCAAAGTCTGTTTATTGTTTTCCAGGATTGCGATAGGCCTTGCTTGCAGAGAGCGCGAGACTACCACTTGGTATTCGGCAAGTTGGCATTAAACTGACCGAAACCCAGTCCCCTGGACACCCCGCAGGTACACAGCTTCTGCGGTGGTGGGGTGGTTTCGGAATCTGAGAGAAGTTTTCGAGCTCCCCGGATTACCTTATCTACGGACTCTCACTCGCTCGCTCGCGCCAATTCCTAAACGAAATCCCGCCGGTCCATATACCGGCCCGTTTACGCGGCGATTTACCCTTTAAACCATCCTCCGGTTTGTCGTGCCTAAGTCCGGTGGGTAGTAACGCGATATACGAACTGTCCTGCCGCGTGTTTGCCCCTCGTTGTCACGGTCTGCGTCATGGTCTCTTCATGAAAATAAAATGACCCGTCACGTATTCTAATCCGGCGTGTTTTACAAGAACGCGGGGGCTGATTCCAGTGATTACGCACGAATAGCGTTTATGGCGCGGGACTGACGTTGAAAGAAATTGACGCTTGACACGTAAATAACGCAACGTTGAAATTAAATCGGGGGCTCGCGTTTCTTTTTTTTTTTTTTCCTCTCCTCCGAGAGCAAGCATAGAAATTTCTAGAGAATTTGCTCGCGAATTTCTGAATTTTTCTTTTAGAAACGTGTTAACCTTTTTTTTTTTTTTATCGGAGAAACCATGGTTTTCTCGAGTTAAAGATATCGCCGCTTGTATCGTTTCATTGAAATCGAATCCTTCCAATATTATCCGAGCGTAATAGGATTATACAAGCGTCGCAACTACCAACGAGGCAACGGTAAAAGAATCGAACGTAAGAATTGATAAGACAACTGCAACCACTTCCTGGATAATAAATGCTCGTTTATATCCCGTCGTATCTCACAGTCGAGCATTTTCTCGCGCGCGAATAGCCTATACCGGTTGTTCGTGAAGCACCGATTTACGATTCATGAAAGTAAGGAACGTATTTCGGAAGAAAAAAACAAAAAAAAAAAAAAAAAAGAAAACGTAGATACGAT